AAGTTATAAGTACACAATAATAGATAAGACGTATAAAACAGGTGATAATGATACACGAAAACATTCTATTCCTAGTGATGTTACAAAATACATCAATAGAAAAGTAGCAACATATTCGAAAAAATGATTTTAAAGAGGAATAGATTAATGTTTTATTTCTAAAAAATACGACGAATATTGAGAAGAATATTTCAAAACTATATTAATTAATGCAGAAAAAATTGAAGATGTTCAATGTGAATTTTTAGGTTTTATATAACTTTAGGCTTGTACGATCATTTAACGAGTGTTCGTGGAATTGTGTTCCATTCGCTTGAAATATAGCGTTTAATGCTGTCGATTAAAATAATTGATTGGAAATTAATAAATGCAAATTATATCTTACATTTAAATATTTTATATCCGCAAATAATTAATCCTTGCATCAGTTGTTATTAAAGGATCGTAATACATAAATTAAAATGAAGAGAAATAAGTGTAATTTTTTGTGTACATGTATTGATATTCACTCAATGTAACAATTCATAATACTTGGAAATGTTTGAGTTTTTTGCATATATGATAAATTTTCTCTCTTTGCTCGTTAATATGCAAGCGACGTGGTAATCGTCCGAGAAGAAAATGTGCTACGTAAAAATGATATTTGAAATATAAATTTCTAGCTACGACTTATTTACGTGTGCAAGTCAGATTAAATCATCTTTTCCACATAAAATTACAAGTATTGATCTTTTTTAAATCCATAATCGTCGTATGTTATATTAGTACATATTATGTAATTGACACGTTCGATAAATCTTATTCCATATATCTTATTTATTATCATGTATAAAAATACCTCTTATGCGTTTATACAATACAACTGTAAAATATTACTCAACGTAAGATAGATTATTTTATAAATGCACCTCTTCAAAGTTAATAATTCTGACATACACTCTTTTGTTCGTCCAGCAGAAGAATATACGGCAACCATTTAAGAAACATAATAGTACTTCTACAAAAGCTATCGTTTCAAATTATGCTTCTCCGATGTAAAATCCTATCTTAATCGCCCTGTGTCTCTCCGTTGTTTTCTTCGTTTCCCATGTTTCCTCTATTTTGTCAATAGTATTGAACTGGTTCGCGCATATACAAGTCATAACATTTGCTTATTCGTACGTCAGAAGCAGGCAACATTAACTTCTAAACATTGAATTCTATGCATCGCGCGTTATCATTCTCGGAAAAATGTGTCACAAACATATGCTGAAATTCCTGTGCTTCACGTATCCGAGGGCATCGATTCGCAATCGCGATTGTACGTATATCTCCAGGGAATAATGAAAGCATTTGGATAACGTGAGAATAACGTAGGAAATAATTCATCGTTTAAACATGGTATACACGATGGACTGCGATTTGTCGAAACAAACTGCACGTATACAATGGAACTCGATTTATTCGAACTCTATCTACCATGAATGAACATCGTCGGAATGCGCAATTTATCGAATTCAGCTCGCCGCTGAGCTTCTGTTATTGCGCTAACCCTTCGCGGCGTACCGCTTATCCGAACTAATGACATTCGTAAAACTAATCGTAATGCGTCTTCTGTTAACCCTTTTAGTGCCGAACAACGATATATCGTTGTTAGCAACGCTTGTGAAAAGTACCAACGACGATGTATCGTTGCGTATGCGATGCCGCTTTGCTATTCGCATCGCGAGACAACTTTATCTTAAACTAAATTTGTAAAACGTTATAAATGGTTGAATTTCTCTGCGGAAGTCCTGTGTGAGATATTCCATAAATTGAAAAAATTGCTTATGGGTTTTAACTTTTTGTTATATTCCGCGATGGTTGATACCGAGACTGTGTATACGCCAGTGCCATAAGATAAAAATCCGATACGCGAGATTTGCTTGAGACCGTAGTCACAGGTTTTAGATAAGACTGTTTAGAAAAGAATATCTGCTTACGTTTCACAAAATAATCTTGCATCGACAGGACGAGAGTAAAAGTTTTGGCGGGCTTGTGCGAACATCGAGCACAATTTGTAATCTGTGCAATAAAGGATTACACGGTGTATACATTAGTGATCATCGATGCTAAGTAAATTATTTGTGCGAGTAATAGTAAGTAAACATTACACATTTTCAATAGCTATAAATGTTTATAATAATGTTAGAACGTTATTTCAGTGATGTCATACTAGTTTATTTGTTCTCAAGCAAGTAATCCTTCACGCTTATTGCGTATCATGGCATTATCATTTAGTTTTGTATTTTAATATTAGAAATTGTGTTACATACAGGGTGGTTGGTAACTGATGGTACAAGCGGAAAGGGGGTGATTCTACGCGAAAAAAGAAGTTGAAAATATAGAATAAAATTTTTTTTTTAATTTTTCATCGAGACAACGATCTACAGTGAGATCCGTTATAACGAGACGCGATAAAGTGGACGCGTACCGAGCGAAAATTCAAAGTCGATTTTCTCGAAAACAAAGCCTCGAACGAAAAATTTTTATTCTATATTTTCG